GAAAATTAACTTTCAACAGCAGTTTCAACTACTGACAACTTAGACAATACATCTAGAGATTATGTTTGTTCACTTGACATTGTATGCAAACATACTGAGTCTGATTTGAACTTTAACTTTCATTTTAGGAGTAAGTTGTGTGAAACCATTCTGCAGAGGCAGACAGGGAAAAAGTGGTCCATGCTTACAGCTTTTTATCTACTCAGAGAAAAAAAACAATGTATCTCCATAGTTCAAAGAATGGCACACATTTTAAGAACTGTCACAAACGATGAAAATACAAAATCTTGAAACAGTGCACCCTTCAACATGCCTGACTGATCCACAGGATGTGACCTGGATTTCTACAAGTCTCCTTTACCTGTTACTAAAGATAATAATAGGTCATATCACTGAGCCCAGAGTTAACACTTCATGGAGAAAAAGTGCTCAACCTCTCACAGATCGGTCAAGCTACAAACAGATCATAGCAGCAAGTGAATGAAAACTGCAGGCAATAGATGTGTCTCCAGATCAAGTCTGAAGAGATTTTTTTTTAAAGCACAACAGAGGCAGAGGCAAAGATCACACTTTCAAGGAAAAACACAAATCGGACGCGACAGCACTGTCAAAACAACTTGAGAGGAACTAATGTGGCTGTCATATTAATGTATGTAATACTAGAAGTGTCATGAGCTGGACAACAAGGGATGACACAACTCCTGCAAAGATATTCATGCCTATAGACAATTGACTAACTGTTATATAACATGGCATTTTTTATGGTTGTGGAGAATTCTCACACCACGATCATAAAAAATTAGTAAAGTAAAAATGTAATCCAAAAGGTCAACTTTGTATAAAACTGTCAAACTGAATATGTGATGTGAATATTTATTGAGAGCACCATCAACATCTGATAGAGGACGGCAAGTCATTTCATCATTTAGTCATTTAGTTGTCTTTCTGATGCTGTATTTAAGCCCACTACATGTGAACCACTAAAATCATCCCCCCTTGTGAGGAACAGTGTATTGTGATTAAACCATAAACTCACAGAAAAATAAAAGAATAACATCTGTTTGGAAGCAAATAGCCAAAGAATAAAGTCATTACGATGCAAACAGAGCAGTCAGCCGATATTCAATGCAGGACGATAAATGAGCCTCTCTTTAGAAATATTAGATAAGTGATTTTTCAAATTATCTTGTATAATAAAAAGGTTGATAGAAAGGAAAAGAAAATAGACCGATTCTGTATATTTTCAACCAGCAGAGTTGAGCTGATCTAAATTTTCTCTTACTGATGACAACTAACTTGCAACGTCTATGAAAATCGATCTATTTTCTAACCTTATTTTCTACATGCTGAGAAGCTCAGTGTTTGTAAAATCAAAGCAGCAGAGAAACTGTAGCGATGATGTCATCTGGACATCTGATCCTCTACAGAAGGTGAATAATGCTGTGGTCAGACAACAAGATATTTTTGTCTGTTATGGTCAGATTATTGAGTCATGAATGATTGCCTCATAGTGGCCAAGAGACAAGAGACACACTACTCCTGGCTGCCTGGCCAATCACAATTTTTTAAGTAGCATCATTGGAAAGAAAGAGCTTGGCGCAAACTTGGATGTAAGGGACATGGATGTAAACAAACATGCCGCCCAAAGTGGTGTGTATGATACAGGCTGTGAGTCAAAAGAGGGTTTAAACAATCCTAATGTCAATCCCAAATACTTGGATAACTGGCAACTCACGCAAAATTATTTTATTCAAGGAATAATTATCTTTGTCAAGGACACTGTGTTTTCATTGGCATTCGTTTGTTTGTCTGTGTTTCTGTCAGCAGGATTTCTGAAAAGCTATTAAATTAAAAGCGATTTCCATGAAGTTTTGTGGAGGGGTGGTGCAGGACCCAAGGAAAATCCATTAAATGTAAAAGTGGATGCTGATAAAAAATCCAGAATGTTTTTTACACTTTCTTTAACATGGTTAGATAAGTAATTAGCCTTGCCTGAGGTATGCACTCTTCTGTTGTCTTTGTATCGAGGACAAAAAGCCACACATGCAATATTAATGGAACATCTTTGTGTCTTTGAGTGTATGTTAGCAATTGAAAAACAGCTTCTTGGTCTCTGAAAATGA